CATGTGTGTCTCTATCCATGTGCATATGAATATATATATATATATATATATAAATGCTACAACAAGGTAGCCAGAGGACAGAGTTGAATTATGTATACCTCGAAACTCTAACCAAGCAGGGGTGGATTGTTTTAGACAATGGGCTTATTTTCCTCAAGGGAGACGGTGTTGTGCCATGTTCAGTGACCTTTCTCAATGCAGTGCATGTTTGTTTACCATCCTGAATGTATATGTATGTGTAAGTTTGTGTTACGAATGTGACTCGCATTGCCTACTGTATCTTACACATTTAAGCAGTGTTACGACTGCTTATAATAATCTTTTCAGGGTTTGCTGAGGTGCCACAGATATGTCATTTTAATGTAAGGATGTTGCAAAAAAAATCAAGCAATGTTTTAAGTTAATAAATTTAAATTGCCATATTTAAAATGGATGTATTGGGTGTATGAGCTTTGCTGAGTCACTACATTTTGGATTGAGAGTGAAGTTAGGTTCCACGGAGAGTTCAGACAGGTTCATTTATTTTTCATCAGCTGCTGTGGAAGAAGACGCGTTAAATTTTTAAGGACTGAGAAATCTGAAACGTGTCATAGAGATACCAAACCCAAATGCATGCCATAATACGTGCTATTTCCCCATTTTCTCTTTACAATGAGCATGTCAAATACACACCCAGGGTAACACTTACTCACTTAAAATAATTCCAATGATTACCAACAAATTTAGGTTGAAGGAATTTCTAAAATGTAAACACCTTTCAAAGCTCATCTGAAATATAACAGTGCACGTCATTGTAATTCATGCAAAACTACTTTATGTATTTTTGTGGTTAGATAATCCATTAAATCAAACTATCTGCAACTTGTAAAGAGTATTGTTTGTGCGGTGTGGATCAGTTTCTTTCAGAGTCATTTGACACCCATGAAAGGCAGTGAGTGAGTCAGGTGACCAAGCAGTTGGATACAGTCACAGGTTGAGATCCCGTCTGCTTCCAGTGAGGAAAGCACAGGAGTCGAGATGACGTTCATCGCCAAGACCTTCTACGACCTGAAAGCCACCACGCTGGAGGGAGACTCGGTGGATTTCAACGTGTTTCGGGGACGGGTAGTCCTGATCGAGAATGTGGCCTCTCTCTGAGGCACCACCGCCCGGGACTTCAGCGAGCTCAACCAGCTTCAGAGCAAGTACCCCCATCGCCTGGTGGTGCTGGGGTTTCCCTGTAACCAGTTTGGATATCAGGTCAGTTGAGCAGCATGGTTCGGGTTGACCTTACAATATCTGGTCTAGATACACTGGAAGGCCAGAAATCTCATGACATGACTTTATATACAGATGATGTTTTTTTTTATTCACGTCAAATATACTGTATTAGTTCACTTATCGATACAAAACTTCACCCATTTTGGTGCTTTCTCTGGATATGAAATACATTTGTCAAAATTAGTCACCTGAATTTCATCAGACGTTTAAAGTCACTTTTAATCTACTATTTTGTGAATCGTCATTGGGTGTGCCTTACCCAATGAGAATGATTCATTCAAGTATTTCAAAAGAACAGCATGACTGCATAGTGTGAAAACTGTAACCAGCTTAATTCCCGTTATCACCAAAATGATAAGCGAACAATGGCCTTTAAAGTCTTTACCATATAGCTGGGGGGTACAAAACAACGGGACAATATGAAAATGAACACTGTTTTGCAGGAGAACTGCAGCAATGGTGAGATCCTGAATTCCCTGCAACATGTGCGTCCAGGCGGCGGCTTTCAACCCAGCTTTACCATCTTTGAGAAGTGCGACGTCAACGGCACAAGCACACACCCGGTCTTTGCCTATCTCAAAGATAAGCTCCCCTATCCCGATGATGACCCCACCTCCTTCATGCAGGACCCCAAGTTCCTGGTTTGGAGTCCCATCAGCAGGACGGACGTCTCATGGAACTTTGAGAAATTTGTCATTGGGCCGGAGGGAGAGCCCTTTAAGAGATACAGCAAAAAGTTCCCCACGATTGCCATTGAGCCTGACATTCAAAGACTGTTAAGATTAACCAAACCCTAAGAATAGCCTCCACCTCTTAATGACTTCTCATCAATCCTAGTCAAAGCTGATATGCTGTCCTCCTCACTTTTAAGCCTTATTAAATGACGGTGATATTCTGAAAAGCTGAGGGAATATTATCTGAGGCCTTATAAGTGCTTAAGAGTAGTGGAGGAATAGATTTGATGTATGTAAAACGAATTCTACAATATAGAAACGTGAATAGCAGGGTTGTTTTCCTTTTGCATGTCGTTCTGCTCCCTGTCCTATCAGAGCCTGGCCAGCAGATGGTGCTACTGGTTTGCCCATACAAGTAGATGACTCCTGTGACGCTTTTATGAATTAACATTCACCTCACACACGCTCACAAAATGTTTGCCCTGGAATAAAACCCTAAAAACCAATATTCTCTCTCACTGATGCATCTTCTTTTAAGCAGACCATATAACCAGCGAGGCAGCACCTATAAAGATGTATTGCTCTGATGCAAGGTTGACAAAAATAGATGGTCATGTCTGAAACAGCTCTGTGTAGGCATAGTAATGAGGCTTGACAAGCAGTGGGAAGGGTGTGGAATTATGATGCATGTTTTTATTGCACATTTAAAAGCTCACAGGCCATTCCTCTGCATTATGCACCCTCTCCTCTGCTGATTCGGTCTGTATTTGTTGAGATCTTCTTTCTTAAACATTTCCAAGTATCTGCTGACACCAGTAGCCCGCACAGCAGCAGGAATGCTTTACTACCACGGTGACACTTGAAGACAACTCCTAAATCATGAATTTAGAGGAGCATCGGCCTTGCCACTGTGTAATGAGCTCTTATCCAGCTCTGATTGCCTATGCACAGCGTGCATTGTTTCCAAGGTCTGCAGATTAGCGGTGGGTTTTCTGCACATCCACTCACATCCACATCAGCTGATGATGTCAGAGCCACAGGCTACACAGGCAGTGCCTTAATGTCTTTGGCAGGTTGCTGCGGGGACAACAGTGAAACAAAACAGCCATTTGACACTGTTTTAGATGTTTGTAGATCGCCTGACTCGCCATCTTTGCATATCACATTTAAATATTTGTATTGTCGTGATACACAAGGACATTTGATTAATATATTTCCCTCAAACCTACTGGTCTGTGGCTTACAGCCGAGTATTGTTGCCTATTAGAAACAGCAAATATTGGAGGAGGAATACCAGGGGCCTCTCCTCTGCACTGCTCCCCTGCACACTCAGCCTGCAGAAAAAACCCACCAAAGATCGTTTAGGCTTAAGTGATGAACCACTCAAATGGATTCTCGAAATTCTAAAATAATGGAAGAAAAAACCCCACCTCATCACATAGGACTTTGTGTCAAATTCTCTCGACAATACTTTTGATTTGCATATGTTTCGGTCCAAATAGCCCTGCAAGTAACTGCAGAAACATTATCTGAATATCTTTATCTTTGGCCCACATCTTTGAATCCGCCCACTCGAGCGACTTCAATTCTGTCCGAAATCAGACATGATAAACATAAAAAAGTGTGTACCTACAGAGAAAAGGGTGTAACTAAGGCAGAGTGAGAGCTCCTCGTTTCACCGCTCGTCTCCTCGTCTACCCACTACAGGTGAGCACTGTTGCCACGGTAACGTTTGCTTTGCCCACGATGGCTTCTCGCGAGACTCCAGGTCAGAGAGAGAGAGAGAGAGAGAGAGAGAGAGAGAGGAGGGAGTGGATGATCTCATCCCTCCAGCAGCTGCATAGCGCAGCCAGGCAAACCCGTAACTTTCTATCAAACTTCCAAGTTGCCTGTCGGAGGACGTCACCGGGGCATTATTTTCGGTTTGAACCGGAGCGAACACGTTTTCCCGAGAAGGTGAAGGAACGCGTGCTGCGCAGCGCGTGTGTCGGACTTACGGGACCTTGTTACGAGTTTAAACAAAAGGAGAAAAAAAAAAAAAACCCGCTTCGTATTGTGTGACATCCACAAGCTCGGGGCGGAAAGGAGGAAAGGTGAGTCGGGAGCGTGGTGCTCGTCATGTGCGCGGTGTGTAGCTCGTGGTACGAGGTGCCAAACGTTCCACACAACATCTGTCTGTGGACAAAGCGTATCTTTGTGCCGTGTGAAGGTGCAGCGTGGAGCCAGTGCGCAATCAGTGCCCGTGTTTTAGTTCCACTAATAGGGTTGGTGGTGAACGAAGCGGACTCAGTAATGAACGTTTGTACCCGACTATCACTGGGTCCAAAGGCATAGCATCCGCGGCTATATGTCAAGGGCATTGTTCCCCTCAGCACTGCTTTTTTTGGGGCAGCCGCTGTACATACAGGTGGTGTCGTGCACACTACACCACCACATATAGGACGTCTCCTTGTGTAAGTGTCACCACCCGAGTCATCTGTAATGTTTCAGCATGGTGGTGTCGCCACGCGAGGACGGATTTCACGCAGGTGACTTCCTTGTGCCACATCTGGCCCCGAGAGCTCTGGTTTGTTTCTGTTGCTTCTGATTAGGCCAAGCTGAGTGCATGCAGGTTCATCTTAATAAACAAACCGTGTCAAATGTCAAACAGGGTGTCCACTATAGTCACGGTCCCCCAGGACACTTTGAGCAGATGTTACCCAATACAGACTCTCCATTTGCTGATTTATTTCTGCGTAATGTGCAAAATATATCACTATGGTTGTAGATGGACAGTTTTGGAATAGATTAGAGAATACAGATCATGGCTACATGATAGATTAGGAAATATTTGGCAATGCTGAGCAAGAAGGTAAACACAAGTTTGTTTGATTAGTAACGAGCAGGAAACGGAGCCAACCGTTCAAAGCTCAAACATAAGCAGCATTGTGTCTAAACGAGCATATTTATAAAATCTCAGCTGTATCATACCAGTTACAACTATGCAGGTGGGTGCATTGAACATCCCCTCTCACTGAATCATAGGTCCTGCTCCAGTGGCTTGTTGGAGTTGGATAACTTGGCCATGAGTCAGGTGAGAAAATGAAGCTTTGGAGTCTATTGCTTGTGGCAAGGATCAAGGATTTTTAGGATTCTTAATAGGCTTAGCTGACCTGCGGCGCGGTGGGCATGACTGATCATACACTGCGCTGCAATTTTTTTTACTAGTGAGTCTAATCTCAGCTTTGTCCCATCTAAATCATAGCTATTATTCACGCTGGGCTGCTTCTTGCTTTCTCTGATGGGATTTCCTATATAGAGAACTAATCTAATGCAGAGGCAGCAGCTTTGTATCCCTATTGGGGAAGAGCATGCATGCATGCTCTGTTTTAATCTGCCACAATGGGCCGACAAGTCTGTGTTTGATGACGCTGACTGAAATCCCATTCAAGGTTGAGATAAGGCATAACTGCGTGGGACGACACACATCTAATTTCGGGAGGTCAAGTCCAAAGATCAGGATTTGTGCCGGCCTGCTCTCATCCAAATGCATCGACATGCAAAAACTCTACATGAGATTGTTCCTTGAGAAAGAAGCCATAGCGTCTCAAGTCTACCAGCAGAAATAGTCCCCCTGGTTTATTACTGAAGGACAGTGTTTCTATTTTCACTTTTATTGCATCATGCTTCTCAGACAACAACAACAATAGTTATTGTGCTTCATTTTGCCGTAGAGTCGCTCCAACGTGCACAGAGGGATGCTTCCTGTTGCTAAACTGAGCTTATGCTTCTATTGTCTCTTGTGCATTGGCTCGAAGGGAATAGCTCGAGCAAAGATAAAAGACAAGAGGAGCATTGTGCTGCTTTATAATTTGCCACTGTGGAATGTGTGTGCTGCAATTATGCTAAGTGGCCGTCATGAAATGCTTAAATTATCGGTTTTAATTAATTTCACAACGGAAAATTATATTATTGTTATGATTGATTCTCAAGTTCAAAGTGAACTTATCTTTATTGTTTTAATGATCGTAATGTGTGAAGTAGGTTTTTTGTGCCGCTGTCACTTCTAGCTGCCTGTTACTGACAGACAGGACAAACAGAACCTTCAGAAGTGGCCCTGGATGATCTGGTGCACCAGTGTGGCTACAAGGCCACTTTCTTCATGCTTGTTTATTCCATGGCAGACACCAACATGAGTCATGTGTTCATGGGTTTTCACACGACCTTCAGTTGTAGCTTGAAACATATCACTTTTTTTAGAACACACAAAAAAAAAAGGGAAGCTCCGTCAGTTTTTAGATGAGTGATGGGTCTGGCCAGGATGAGTCACTGATAGTCAGAAGTCAAATGACTTGATGGTAATGTGGCCTCCAGCGTTTGTTTTTCCGTGTGAGTGTCTATTTCGCCGGTGACTGAGACTCAGGGGGTTGATGAGTTTGATTGTAATGAAGTGTGACTATACGGGTCTGCGTTTCCTGCTTGCTAAACTGTTGGAATGCTCCGTCTTTGTCTGGATCGGACGGTCCACTGTATACCAGCCAATGGAAGGAAAGCAGAGGGCTTCGGAAGCTACAATAGCGATGATGTAATCCCTTTTCAGCGCACTGTCACAGAGTAAATGCATGCAGACAAGGGGAAAATTCCCCTCCTCTTCGCCCAACCTGCCACAAAGTTTAGGGAATTTTTACCTCGCAAAAAAAAAGCTCTGCAATTCGTACACTGTAATTATCAATACCAGAGATTCTGTAGGGCTCACTGCCGCTGAGGGAGTTTAGCATTGAGACAGGTGCAAAGTGTTGCTCTTGACTCTGGTCTGGACCTCATACCTGACTGACAGCTGTGTGTCCATTTGGTGGTCCGTTACTTCTACGCTCATGCACGAAAGCAGCCTCTCTGTGCCCGGGTTCTGTCATGCTGCGTCCAACTCTCCAACCCCCAAACCAAAACCCACAGTCATGCAGAGATCAGACACTGTGTAATTCCCCTTCTCTGCTCCCATCAAACCTCATGCATGCCGAAAATAGTACGACATGGCGTAAAGATCGGAAGATGGGGAAGAAAAACGTTTAAAAAAAGCTTGACAAACAACCACTTAAGAAAAACTTAAAGTGAGAGAAGATTAAAAAAAAAACCAACACGTTGGATAATAAAATCTGGAATTCTTCTTCTGATGATGATGATGATGTGTTGCTGCAGGCCATCCCCGCTGCCACACAGTGATGACTTGCTCGGTATTGTCTCGACATGTCTGCCAGTTGCGACACCGTCTCTGTGCTCGGGCCTGCACGCTCCCTGGAATGGATTGCAGCTCGGAGAAGAATCAAAACATCAAGCAGAGTTAAATGTCCTCGTGCCCCGTGCAGAGCCCGCGTGAGCAGCGGTGGAAAAATAATTCCACGTCCAAAAACCAGAGTTTTTTTTGCTGTTGTCCCTCCTGTGGACAGAAATCTGAGAAGCAGGCAGGAATGCGTGAGGACTCGGCCATGGCTGAGCTCAAAACAGATCTCAATGAATAGACAGGTCTGTTCAGCTTGTCCTCATTCCTCTGCACGCTTACAACTGTTTTTGTTTCTTTCAGGTGGCACTTTTACTATGTGATTTGTAGTAAAACAGGAATGCTGGCTCAACAATACACCGTGTGAAGTGTTCCCCCTGCAAAACACTACTCTCTGAACGCTGTCTGAGCTGCTTAAAGTTGTCTAAAATAGTCAAAGCATTCTCTCTGTAGTTTGTGTGTTGTGCTTTGTTTCCCTCCTCGTATTGCTCCAACATTTTCACATCCTTTGCTTTGGAACCAGGGAGTCCATTTCCACCCGGTGAGTTCCTGCTTCCCTCTCGGCTTTGCTGGAGAATGAGACCACTGTGAACCGAAGGCGTCCTTTGCTAGATTCAGATGACTTTTTAAACAAATAGTAATTTCAGGTGGACTGAGTGAAGGGAGTAGGGAAATATCCCACTCTCACTATTCCTGCAGTTTGTCCATGTAGTTCAGTATTTTATATATAACAACATATACTATATTACACTACTGAAATAATCAGGCTATACAGTTTATAACAGACCACTATCTGATGAATTAGGTCATAGTCTCTTTTTTCAAGTCGCTCCAGGTGCAAAGGGCAGATAATAACAAACATGTCTGCTTTCCCAGCCTTTCCTCTCTCGCTGCCTGTTTCCTGTGTGTTTCATTGATGTATTCCAGGATACCGGGGCCTGTATGCATAACATGCATGCAAAGCTGAATATTGACACGTGAGTGCTTGTGCTTAGTTCAGCAGTTCTCATTACTGTTACTGCTGGGGAGGAGGGGAGGCGGTAGTGTTGTTGCCATGTTTGTGTTTACATGCCACTCGTACTGGCCTTGAATGTCAATTTGGAGGAAGTCACGGGTGGATGTTTGATGCCAGAAATATGAGACATTCACCTGTACACATCCCGGTTTGCCCTGAATGTTTACCTTTTGCCTCATTGTTAACTGGCCCTAAAAACCAGGAATTAAAACACTATTTAAGGAAACACTCATGATGGTAGATTGGAATGGGGGAGCGCTCCAGTCAAAACTGGTTTGTTTTCCTCCTCTGTGACTTATGGGGATGCGAAGTCCTGATTATTGCCAGCCGGGGGATAAAAGTGTGTGTGTGTGTGGGGGGGGGGGGCGGCGTGTTAATTGCATTCTGCTTCACTCTATCAATGGCCTAAGACTAGAACAGAAGAATTACTGGGACAACTGTCGGATGTTGTCTGATTAATTAAGCAGATGTTCATTTGTCTGCCTTTTGCTGCCATGTATTTTCAATAGTGTGGTTTTTTTGTTGTCTAATGGAAACAAAAGTATTGAAAACACTGCACCCTCTGGGTGGCTGTTGTACATGAGATGTGGCTTTCAGGGAACTGGCTCACATGCATGATAAACCACAGTAGCAGAGCTGGCAGGAGTGTGCCAGTAAGTGCAGTGCAAGCCAGCAGCACAGCGCTGTGAAGGTTTGCACTGGGGTTTGCTGGCACACACTGATCTAGCAGGGCACCACTGTTATGCAACACTAGCTGACTTATCGCAGTCCAAAAGACTGTGTTATGAATTGATTAACCTGCGGCCGGACTGTTTATAATTGGACTGGAAGTGCACTGGGCTACGCGCTGGACACGTGCCAAAATCAATATGGTTCACGCGTATGACTTTGCTACGCTGTTGTTGTGGATTTAGTATCCGCATCAAGCCCTTCCATGTCCAGAACTGCACCTTTTTTAGAAACTATTTGCTGTTTCTGACAAATAATGTAGATTACGGAGGCTCACCTGAGCTTTCTGCTGAGTCCACAGTTGGGGAATTAGGCTGCCCTCCAAGTTGTGGGGGACAACACAGTCTGCCAGGCTTCTCCAGAGACGTGGCAGAGAATGCGTCTGAGGTTTTTCTGCAAGGATAATAAGCCCTCACTCTGCTGGTCCTCGTGTTAACTCGCACTGAAGCTCCCCCCCCCCCCCCGTCCCCAGCACTGCAGCCCATGTTGCTACCTCGTTAAATCGCTAACCTGGCAAGATCCTATTCTCATGTTTCGGCCTGCATACTTGCAAACCAAGTTACCAAATTTTGCAGGGAAGATCTTGTGCACTAGTCACACAATTAATGTCTTGTGGCAGCACAGCAGCTATTTGGCCAACGTGAGGGGATATTAATCAAGCTTTCACCTTGACTCTGGCCTTCCACGACGGCTGCCTCCGTTCTCCCGTTCACTGCGGCCCTGTAAGCTAAGGATCCTATTGTCTCCTAGCAGCACTCTCATGCTCCTCTGTCACTGATATTAGTCTGTGGGGAATCCTCGTACAGTTGAAATGCATCCCTCTACGGCTGCCTCTATTCATCTCTGCTATTAAATTAGTTGATGTGCTTCATCCTGATTGCTGCAGAGGTGTATTTGTTGGCCTAGCAGCTGTTGATCGATTGATAGATCAGGTTGTCTGACAAAATGAACTCCAAGGATGTGTAGAGCATCTTATGATAGATTTAATTGCATTCTCTGGGGGCCTTTTAAAGAGCCCGTGGTCAATGCTGCTGCTGCTGCTGCTGCTGCAGTGAAGCTCATGTTTCTCATGTTTGCTCAGCAGGGTCCCGACCCTTCCCAAGCGGCCTAATCAAACCATCACAACTGCTCCTCTTCCATAGCATCACCTTGCCACAACCTGTCCAGACAACACTATCAAAACAAAGAACAAACCAATATGTCACTCCGAAGGTATTCACATTTTTAAAATGCCATTTCAGCAACACAAAGGGTTCCTATTGTGGGTTCCTAATTTTCCCTGTGAGCTATTTCTTTGTTGCCGACAATGTTTTCATTCCTTTCTCCTGCCAGACTGTTATCTGATCTGAGCATTCAGTTAATGTGTCTGTGTTTTAGCAACAGATACTAGGTTGGTGTTGAATGGGCACATAGGCTCTGATTTTCACTCCAAACACTTTATTATTTCTGAGTTTGCAATAAATTAGAATGTGCTTTACTGTGGTAAAGGTGGTCTAATCAGGATTCTGTCTTGGTAGTCCTCTGTGATGTGGCTAGTTCGCTACCTGTGCAATCAGGCGGAGGATGTGAGAGGACAGGGCAGCGGATGACTTCCAAACATCACAGACATCTGTCATATTGACCCCTCTGCCTTGAGAATCCGTCAGGCTGCTGTCAACTGACCTCGCTGCTCATACACAGCTGTACACTAGCTCTCTCATCCTGGCTCTGTCCTCATGAATACAATCTTATTCACTTAATACAGATACAAACATCTATCGCAGTCCATCGTGGAAGCTAAGAAGAATAAAAATCCATAACCACAGCAATGTGACCCAATCAGGCCACCAACATTATCGTCCTCTGAGCCGTAACATTTTAGCATTGATTAGTTTGTTTCCATTAGGAACAACGGAGCCACGTGAGTAGTATTCCAATAAGGATTTGTATGTTATGCACGCTTGTTGCCTCTAAGCATGATGATTTTCAGGAATATTATTGACTGCGTTTATTTTATTTCCACTGCTAGTAGCCATGGGCCACGGGAGTAAATGGCTGTATTGGCCTGAGCCAAGCTAGGACTGGCACGGGTCAAAGGATCAATACTCACTGATGGGCACACACATGCACACAGCGGGGTTCTCTGGCATGCAGTGTGTGTGTGTGTGTGTGTGTGACCACTGGATGTCCCAACCTCCAGCCGCCAGCTGTGCACGCCACACGCTGAAACATTCCATCTCCGGCACCAGGCGCTCGCACAATCAAAATACGGTGATGTAATTGACCCACTCTGTTTATCCCTGTTCAAACGTTCTGCAGCGCCACAACCCTGCTGCCCCCCCCGGCCGTAACGTGACATTGAGCGGTCGAAATGAATCTGAACATGCTAGATACACTCGATGTGTGAGCAGCACTGCAGGCTCACTCTGATTTGTTTTGCTTGAGAGTGCCTGTGATCAGAGAATGAAGTAATAGCAGGCTTGGGAAGTGTTTTTGTCGGGCTGAGCCCCCATCCCCAGTCTTCTGGCACGTGGAGAGGCTGAATTATAGACGGCAAACGCACAAACTATTCACTCAGCCCTCCTCAGAGCATCATCACTGTTAATTATACTGCTGCTACTCTCGCATCCCTTCTATTTTAATCCTCAATTGATGGAAACTGCCTCATCCCAACAGAGCACACACACTTGAGAACACACAAAGGCATGTGCCATCCCCATGCTGAGCTGGGAGTGTTTGTTTTGGAACACATTCACAGCTTTTCAGATATTAAGCAGGGCATATATACCTTTCCTCGGGCGAATAGAGGAAATTCAGTGGCCCTATAAACACCTCTTTACCCCGAGCCCACACTGCCCTGTTAAATGAGGCACGCTGCTGGGAAATGCTCCCATTGCATTGGGGTTTAATCCAAGTGGCCTGGTTGCACACTTCAGCAATGCAAAAAAACATAAATATCTTTCGCAATTTTTACTACAATGTCGAAATATTCCAATATAACAGCAATAAACCTACAGTTGTTAAAATCAAATGAATGACTGCCTAGGCGGGAGTCACTTTACAGCCTCTCAGATAATCTGATGGATTTGAAATTGAAGACAGCTGTCCAATGCAAGTATCATAGTGTTTATAGTGGATGCTAATTTGCAACACCTATCCCTTATACACAGTAGCAAAAGCCCAAAATGACAAGGATTACAATGTGAGTGTGCCTATCAAGCACCTGCATGTGAGTCTTTTCAGAGTGAAAGTAGACCGGGTGAACAATGGTGCACAACACCCATGTTCATTGCTGCCAAAAATCAACAGGTGTTTGACCCATTTATACCAGACTGCTGTCACAGGTGATTACACAAGACCTGTGTCTGGAACTACTTTTTGCCACACACACAAACACACATCTGTGTTTTCCTGACTTTTGGGAACATTAAATTGACTTCAATTAATTTACTGACTTACCATAACTACTACCAGCCTAATTCTAACCTAAAACTAACCTCAGTTAGTCTTCATCCTTAAATCCTAAATGTGCCAAAGGAAGGTGTGTCCCCACAATGTGACAGTTTAAACAAAACTATGTCACCACAAGACGGGTAAAATACAGTTACACACACACCCTACCACCACTACTACTACTACACCCAACTATTATACCATTTCACTACTAGAAGTGTCCCAGAACTTATTGAAATGCAGTAATGGTTACACAGATTCGTCAGCTTTCCGTTCATTAAACGTGGGTACGGAAAGCTGACAGTGGTGATATGGAGATGCAACTTTATACAATATGATTTATCTCTTCATCACCTGATAAAAAGATTGAGAAGAACAAAGTTCATGGCTCACAGCCAGTATCTATTGTCTGTTCGGCAACAAGAATATACTATAATGCCTCACTGGCCTCCCATCTGCGAACACTTCCTGCTGGGCACATTATGGCACTCAATCAAGCCAGAAACACGTCTGCAGAGTTACACATGGCCACCGTGTTTATTCGCATGGGCAGCCCTAATTGGACTCTAACAGAGACCATAACTTGCATTTCAAACGTGATTTCCAAGAAAAGGTCATCTTAGTTTGAGGCCGGTATTACAGAAATAGCTTCTCTTCGAGCTGGCATGGGACCGAAAAGTGCTGTCTTTGATGTTTGCAGAAACAGAAAGTAGTTTGAATTATCTTATTCAGAAATAACTATTGTCCCATGAGTTTACTCTCATGAGCCAAATCAGCTTTTTTTTGTGTTTCAATGGAATT